CTCCGCTAAACTGCCTTGATAGGCGTGTGGTACGGTCTGATTGTTGTGAAACAAAGTGTGCATCTCGTAGTTCCACGTACAAGTCACGCCAACATGCTTGCGTATGCATCTGGAAACGCAGTGCTTCTTTAAGCCTTATTATGCCAATAAATTTTTGGATTCGAAGCAAAACGTTTTCGCTTTATAACGATTTATCTCAGGGAAGGTCAGATGGGAAGGCCGAAAAATTCGATTCCAATAATTCGCAGAATTCCACCTCTTTTTCTAATAAATTTTGCTCCTTGAAAATTACATTCATTATATTTCGATTTCATCACAATCACCAAAATTCTAGTTCCATTCCACATTGGCGACGTTTCCAGGAAATCCTGGAAACACTAGAATAGGTCATGCTCTTCGTCCGTAATCCATGAAACTCATTTTGCTTAAATTGCACACTTTTTTCTTGGCCGTACTGATATGTCCGCTTCTAACCACTAAAGTGATACCGCTTGCTATTATCGCAGCTCACTGAGCACAAAAGTAGCATTATTTTCTCAGTAAAAGAGGAATTTTAGTCTTGCAATCCAAAAATTTGATTCAAAATTTGCATCAAAAGAATTTCAATGTTAATTTGTTACCTCCCAAGTTCGACGTCCTCGTGGTTAGTAAGTAGCTCCATCAGGCAGGAACGCAAATGCGGCGCAACGGTACGAAGTGTCTCGCGTGACATCACGATTCCCGGTCCACCCATACAGTAGTTATCCTGCTGACCAAGTGCTAACTGTCCGTATTCAGCTGTGTTGCCCAGTCCGGCTTGACCAATCAGGTAAGCTTTTTCCGAGTCCAACGACCTGTATCATAACTGTTGAGCAGAGCTATATAAAAATAATTTTACAAAGTGAAAATGTTGCGGTCGCAAAGGTTCATGAAGAATTTCGATTTACTCCGAGACTTTTGAGCCAATCTGATTTTAAAAATTCGATTTATAGGGAAAATGGCAAACCTCAGGAGTGTTTCGAGTTTGTTACTTCGCACGTACAGGTCATCATCCGCTCGCATAAACCAGTCATAATCATTCAGCTGAAAATCCAGTTACTGGTGTTATTAAAATTGACAAAAAGAACTGAAAATAGGAACTTTTTAGGAAAGATGAAAAAGTGGACTTTTTGTTTAAAAAAATAAAGGCCTTTTGCGTGTGATTTGAAAAGACTGAATTTTTGCTTGATTTTTTTTTAAAGTCGAAATGAAGAGAAGTGGAATTTTTCGAAGGCTTGCTAGGGTTATTTGACAATTCAGGCTTTTGACAGTTCCTGACAATTCGATTGATGAATGAGATAAAGAAATTTATAAAAATTTCTGAAAGTAAGAAGCACGTTGGTAAAAGAAATTGTAGAATCATTAAAAACGCAGATATTAATAATTTTTTGTCAGAACTATATTTTAAAAAATATTCTATTTAGTGCGAAAACTCTCGGATAAACTAATATCATTGGAAGCTGAGCATATTTTCTATATCTGGTGATATTAATTGGCTCAACAATTTTCCTATTAAATTCAAACAGTTGGAAACTGAAAAGATTTTGCCCCTGCTGTTTGACTTCACATGACCGTTGAAAGTGCAGCTGAGCAAAAAAGATTATTCTGGTATTTGATGTGTCGATTTTCATTTCTTTGTGTTTTATTCATTCAACCCGAGCAATTTTTTGTCCGCGGTCAGGCAATTTTCACCCACAAACCCCCTCCCTCATGGTAACAAAGTCCCAGATGACCCCTAATTTTGCCCGGAAAAAAGAAAAAGAAAAACGAATTTGCTGAATAAAATTTAATGCAGCGTAAAAAAATTCCTCAGTAATTTTGCTGTTTCAACATAATCATTTTAAATTTCAAGAAAAAAAGGATCTAATTTATTTACAACTGCAGTCTAGCTTTTCATTCCGTTTCAAAAAGCATCGCGCAAATGCTAAATACTCATTGTGATAAAGCGGCCTGGAGGGTGTAGTATCTCCACAGAAATGAAATTAAAGACATAATCTTACTTGTGAGCGATCAAACTAAAGATAAGTAATTAATGGCTAAAAGATACTTCGGTACTTCCAACTGCTACGGTCTGTTTTGCTAAAAAAACGACCAAGGGCTCAGCTTTTTTTTAAATTAATTCTATACCATTCGCTTGATCGTTTTGATAGTAATTTAGTACTGGTGCATGCGAGGAAGTCAAAGTCGCTATCAGCTTTCTTCTAAGCAACCTTTGAAAGGAAGTACAATCGACACACCTGTCAGCAAACAGTTTCTGTTGGCACTCTTTTTTGCTGAGTTTATTAGCGAATGCCTTCACCTCTCTCAGAGAGAGCGAATACAAAGGTTTATTTAATTATTAATGGTTTATTTGTTAACAGCATGAACTGCTTTCCTTCTGTTGTAAACTGCCAAATTTTCGCTTCTTCCATTATGTTACTAATCTTGCAGAAATCATGAGCAATGTTGAGTTCTGGAGTAACAAGTGCACAAAAACCTCTTGCAGACCCAGTCGTCAAGCCATAACAGCCGTTGAAATTCAGTCCGAAATTAATCGACAGTTCGATCGTTTCAGAACTGACAAATTTTCAGTAACTGAACTGGGCAACAATCGCAGTCATGCGGATTGGGAAAGCGCTGTTCCTAGTCAGCTGCTCAAAATCTATTTTCCTCTCTTCCTCTTTGGACTGCGGCAGCTGTCACAAAAGGAAGCCAAGGATTTACCGCTAACAGAAGTCACTACCCTGGAAATTAAATGCTTGTCAACTAACATGGTTGTCGGCCATCCATTTGAGCATAGCGAAAGATTTCTTCTGCGGAGGGTAGACATCCGTGACACCCTTCATCCGTACCAGCGGCATCTCTGCGTGGGTAGTTCTCGTCCCTTCAGCCACAAAAAACAACACCTAAATTTGAAAATTTCCCAAGTATATAATTTTGTACTCTGTTTTCGCACACTGCCATCAAAGATACTATAATTTTCCGTATACTCAGAGTGCATTTTCGGTACCAGCAGAAGAAAACAACAAATTCCTAAGGCCCCTTGCCCCATGCGTTATCAAAGTCACAAGGAAATCGGTAATTTAAACACAGTGAGAAATTGAGGTGCTTCTCACGCGCCAGCAGCGACTGCTCTCTGACAAGGCTGTCGATCGTATCCTCGAAACAACGCCCAAAGGATTTCTTTGT